TAAATTCAAAAGTTGAGTAAATGGTGGCATTTTGAGAAGACATTCCAAACTGACAGAGAAGGACACCAGCGGTAAGGAAAATGCTGAGGATGTTGGAGAAAACTCTTAGAACGGGAAAGGAGTAAAATCTTTTACCGTGCAAGAGCCTAATTCAGACGAACAAATAAGTCAATCTGCAGTTAAAGGGAAAATTTAGTTCTAGTTATATTTGAAAGTATGACAACATATGTTGAGTCCTAAATGTACTATAATCTATTGATAAAAACTGTCCAACAGATGTAAGGAGAACTGGATCATAAATCTAGAATAATTACCGCAAAGCATGTAGAACACATTTGTGCTGAACTGATAAAATTCATTTGCAACGCTGATAGGTTTTTTGCAGGTACTATGAATATTTGTTTTATTCCATTTATACAGCAATTGCTCTTTAATTTGCAATTAATAAAATAGTAACAAGCAAATTAGGAGTTTTATTCTTTCCTAGCAAAGAAGTAGGAAGGAGACTGTAGGAGGATGATGCCATAACTGATCATGATTTCAATTTTGCATAACCTGTCACCACCTGGTTATGTTTAACCTGAGTATTTTCTTCAGCCAAAGTGAGAAGTATTGGAGCAAGCACACCTGGGGTTTTTGTGGTGTGCTTTTTTTTTTCTTTTGTCAAGACAGCAGCACACAGAGCAATCCCAAAATGACAGCCTGAAACCTATTTGGTTTGGTATAAAGGACAATGACAAAAAACCTCCGCACTACAGAAGATATCTCATTTATTTAATCAGTTAATTTTAAATTAGTAACATTTGTTAAATTTTTGCCTATGTATGCAAAACAGTCAGGATAACTCTACATAACCGGTAGCTTTAAAGAGTTGCTTTCATTACTATCAAAATGCAGTTTGGAGAAAAAAAAAAAAAAAAAAGAGGAACAAATACCAGTCAGCATATCTACCATCATAAAATAAAAAATTAGGAATCTAAATAACTGTCTAACAAGCTGTAAAGTTGCTTAAAAGAGAATACAGTGTATTTTTACGAAATCAGAAAGGAGAACCAGTTATAGTGTAAAAAGCTGTATCTAGTTACAAATCGTATTTTTAAGGGCTACAAAATGAGGAGAACCAACCTTTTAACAAAAATCTTTGTCTACCACTTACAATAACCAGTAATTTAAATCAACTGTTTAACCTGTATCAAATCAGCAACATCAAACTTGATATGCACAATTGAAACAAGTTAGAGAAACTGCAGTTTCAGGCTGTAAAATGACACTTCTAGAGTAAGTTTTAAGACTTTAAAAAGCACTCCATACTGAAGAAGCTGGCAGGAGAACACAAGCTGCTTTGAAATTCTTGTTTAGCCCATATATTTCTCAAGTTACTGGATAAAAAAGTAAGGATTTCAGAATCCTACATACTAGGTGTATAAATATTTCTGTTATAGGTAACCTGAAAATTAAGCCCTGAACTCTGTATAAGGCTTGCATATGTGACAAAGTTAGGGTAATTTGTCTAAGGAACAGGCAAGAGAGGTCAGCTAAGCAGTGAAATCATTATCTGGCGCAAGGGAACTCGCAAGTTAACAGGAATATCAGGTTTTTCCTAGAGTCACAAATACGTGGAGACTGAATTCTCCCAAAACTAGTAATAAAAAATCTTTAGTAAAAAGTTTATATGGCACCAATTTAGCTACCTCTGTTTAACTATAACTAGGTGTTCCACAATAACAGATTTTGTTTCCCAGTTGTCATAGGTTCATAGAATCATAGAATCATAGAATAATTTAATCATAGAATCAACCAGGTTGGAAAGGACTTCTGAGATCACCAAGTCCAACCCTTGACGCACTACCACCATGGTTACTAGACTACAGCACTAAGTGCCATATCCAGTCTCTTCTTAAATACCTCCAGGGACGGAGAATCCACCACCCCCCTGGGCAGCCCATTCCAATGCCTGATTACCCTCTCTGTAAAGAATTTCTTCCTAATATCTAACCTAAACCTTCCCTGGCAGAGATTAAGACCATGCCCTCTTGTCTTACTGATAGACAAGAGCTCCCACTGACATCTTGTCTTACTGGGAGAAGAGACCAACCCCCACCTGGCTACAACCTCCTTTCAGGTAGTTGTAGAGTGTGATGAGGTCTCCCCTGAGCCTTCTCTTCTCCAGACTAAACAACCCCAGCTCCCTCAGCCTTTCCTCATAGGACTTGTGTTCGAGTCCCTTCAGCAGCCTGGTTGCCCTTCTCTGGACCCGCTCCAGCACCTCAATATCCTTCCTGAACTGAGGGGCCCAGAGCTGAACACAATACTCAAGGTGTGGCCTCACCAGCGCAGAGTACAGGGGAAGAATCACCTCCCTCGTCCTGCTGGCCACATGTTCCTGATCCAGGCCAGGGTGCCATTGGCCTTCTTGGCCACCTGGGCACACTGCTGGCTCATGTTCAGCCTCCTGTCGATCAGCACCCCCAGGTCCCTTTCTGCCTGGCTGCTCTCCAGCCACTCTGTGCCCAGCCTGTAGCGCTGTAGGGGGTTGTTGTGGCCAAAGCGCAGGACCCGACACTTGGCCTTGTTGAACCTCATCCTGCTGGAATCAGCCCAACTCTCCAGTCTGTCCAGGTCCCTCTGCAGAGCCCTCCTGCCTTCCAGCTGATTGAGGTTTACTTGCTCCAAAAAAAAAAAGCCCAAGCCAGGAATTTTTCCTTTCCCCTGCATCATTGTAGAAGGATGTTGAACAAGGGATTGACACACACAAAAGAACTAACTAGCAGGCCTGCATTCCCAACTGGTGGCTGTCAGAAGACTGGGGGAGGGAGGTGTTTTTTTACCTCTCCTCAGGAAACAAGCAGTGACTTCACTTTTGTCTTGACTCAGGGAGGGTGTATGCGTGGAGGGGTCTGAGGTTCATTTTGGTATTGGCCTGGTCACCTGGCTGTTTCTGGCTCTGTTCTGCCCTCAGCCCAGACCTGCTCTGATTTCATCAGAAAGGTCTGACCCATCTGCAGAGGAACCTTTTGGGGAGGAGGTCACCCTTTCTCTCCTCTGTTCCCATGTTGACAGCAGCTTGTGCCCATTGATGAAGGGGGGGGGGGGAAATCCTGGCCAGAACCAGCCACTGACAGTGTGAGTTTGTGGGAAGCGCCCCTTTCCCTTCCCCTTCACGTTGCGGGGGGGGAGGGAGACCTCAATTTTTGGCTTCTCCCGTGCACCCAGGTGCCACACAGTGACCACCAGAGCTGAACAGCACCCCCTGCTGATCGTGGTTAGAATTATGCCAAAAGAAAAAAAATACTGAACTGGGGTGTTTTGTAGGGAACTTTGGGTGCAGAATTATTGATTAGTTCCTTTTGTGATCTTTGCTTGTTCTGCCAATATACATATATCCTTTAATAAAGGGCTGTTATCTTTTTCTTTCTCCATACTTTCTCAATTGGAGCCTCTAAATTTCGGATTTACAATTGCTTGGAGGGAGGAGCTTGGTCTTCCTCATAACTCATCCTCCTTAGCAAACACTTCAAGTCTCATTAAACTCAAACAATATAAACGGATCAACTATTGAGAGGACAAATTGTTATAGTAATGATTTGTGAAACAGTATCAAAAGAACTTCAAGCACAGGCTGAATTCCTTCATTTACTCCTCAGCACACCATGAGTTTCCAGGACCACCCATCTTTTTTTTAATCTTCTAAAAAAAGATAGTTGCAAAACATCAGCTGTATCACCTTTAAGAAGGGCCACTAAGTTGGTCATAGGGCTGTAGCATCTCTCTTGTGAAGACAGGCTGAGAGAGTCAGGGTTCAGTCTAAGATGAGAAGGCTCCAGCAAGACCTCAGAGCACCTTCCAGGACCTAAACGAGGCCTACAAGTCTGGAAAGAGACTTTACAAAACCATGTAGTGACAGGACAAGGGGGGATGGCTTCAAACTGAAAGAGAGTAGCATTAGACGAGATATTATAGGAAGAAATTCTTTACTGTTAAGGTGATGAGGCACTGGCACAGGATGCCCAGAGAAATTGTGGCTGCTCCATCAGTGGAAGTGTTCAAGACCAGGTTGGATGGGGCTTGGAGCAACCTTGTCTAGTGGAAGGTGTCCTGCCCATAGCAGGGCTGTTGGAACTAGATTATCCTTGAGGTCACAAACCATTCTATGATTCTATGACCCTGACAGTGTATTACAGGATTATATTTTTTAGTCAAAACTCTAAATTAAGGATAATTCTGAAACAATCTTGGCCATGGACATATAGAGGCACAACTCAAGGTAAACTATACCGTGGTAGTCAAAACACAAATAAAAGAAGGTGCATAGATGAAAGCAACTGAAAAGATGAATGGCAACTGGAAAAGAATGAAAAAAGGCAACTTTTCTCCTCCTGAGTTCCCCACCCTTTACTTCTGCTCTTCTGAAGGCATTCTCAAAGCAGCTGATTATAGGACTAATTTTAAAATTCAAACAGAAACAGAAACTAAGCCTTTTTTTCCAAGTAACATGACAAGTACCTTCATTTAAATATCCCATTTTAAGGGTTGAGCTATGTAAGAATTCTTCAGGTGATGGCCTGAAGAATAATTCCTTCTGAACCAGCCCTAGCTACACTATTGCCTCCTATTAAGACCTGAAATTAAAGCAAAGGCTAATGCTGTCAATACACATCAAATATTTCCTAGTATGCCTGCAGAGGTCACTTGGCCTTGGGACCAACTGCCATACCTAACCCATATGGCTTTTATGTGTGACTTACACAAGTACCCAAAGCACATTCATTTCACAGGCCCTTCTTGCCTGAAAAGAACTACATCTCAGGTAGTATTCACCAAATAAAAACACTAATAATCAAAGCCTGGTACTTTTCTGGAATTGTGATCAGAGAGTGGCAATGGGGTAATATCAATAATCAACCTACCCCCATGAAAACAACTTACAGTTAATATATTACAAACTGAGTTTAACATATCAAAAGTTGAGAAATATACCGCTTCAAAAGAGTCACAGCCTATCAGTATAAAGGAAGAATATAAAACTATTTTATTGACCACTGTTCACCAGTATTTACAATAAAGTAAACAATATACAGTCTGATAACATTCAAATTACTACAAAGTTAGTTTTCACCTAGTCTTCTGAAGACCAAGCGATTCCAAATACTAAAAAGAATGACCCTACAGGTTTAAAGGGCTAGGTTTGGGTAAAGAAGATACATGCACATCAATAGTATAGAAGACTACAAAACATCTGTGAGTTTGTTTAGACATTCATTATGATCCTGTAATAACTATGGAAGTTCACCCATGTTTTATAAAAGCTTTTACCTAATATGGAGGAAGTAGTAGTATCAAATGCTCTCTTGTGATAAATGAAACAAGTTGCAGAAAGCTTTTATTTACTTGCTGTTGATGCAAAACATACTACTTCAAAAAAATATCAAATTCGAAACTTGTTAGAATGTATGCTTCTCACATTGCTAATAAATCGAACTTCAGGTTTTAATATTCTTATATATAAAAAAAGCAATGCAAACAATTATTGTGCTTCATCCTCTGGGCATGAATGCCAAGTTAGTCGTTCTTCATAAAAAGCGATTACGATCTGAGGACACTTCACATTAGCTTCTTTGGCCAGCACCAGATCTGCCTCATCAGAGTCTTTCCTGATGTAGAAGAGAGTGGGATTTAAGAAAAAGCATAATCATTATTTTAAAATATTTAGCAGCTCTTGATAAGTCTTAAGTTTTAAAAGAATGTCAGCTAGAAATCGGTTTCCAGTATACCTTTCAATACAGCTAGCAAGAATTTCCATGCTAATGGTAATGACAAGGTTTCATAGCTCCATCTTCCTTTCCTTCCCTTCCCGTATTTTTTCTGTTTGAAATGAAAACACTTTTCAAAGGGAACCAATTATATGGTTAAATACTGCAGTATGTAATGAAGTAAAACTTAGTTAATTTTGTCTTTTAAAGACTAATCAAATTAAAGTGAGACTTAAAAAATTAAAAGCACCGGTCTTAAGACATGGTACTTACATCCAAATTGTATTTACTGTTTATGCAAGTAACTTTCTGTATTCATATTGCTATTCTTGATGCTGTGTTGGGGTAACAAAACAAACTTTCTAGTCTGACATGCTTCAGATTCCATTTTAAAGTATATGCTGACTTTACGAGTTAGCTTTGTGCGTATATACTCCTATCTATGCATGTTACCTATGACCAGTTATGAAAAATCAATCAACCGCAATGGAACTAAACAAAAAAAAAAATCCTTTTTGTCCTCTGTGTCTGATTTTGCCAATTATCACTACAGAAATTCAAACACTCACGATCTTTGTTTTGCAACTCTTCTAAGTTTCACATAAAATTTATAGGGAATTTGGAAAGTCAGAATGAAGACAATCTTCTAAAGCACTAATTTGCAGCAGTCTGGGCACATCGCATGACAAATCATGTCTCTGGAGACCACTCAGTTTGACTCCATTGAGAAAATCATGTCCTTCTCAAAGGCTGTGGAAAGCTATCCTTTTTATCCCACCATTTAAAGAAATCTGACCCCTAGCAGATGTCAATTCAATCTCTTGATTTCTCAACTGCTGGAAAGTACTAATTGTATCCCATCTGCTCAAGAAATCCTTCTATCGACACTATGTCACCTATCCTCCCAACAACACAAACTCCCCCACCACTTTCCCCATAATGACAAGCCTCTCCATATTGTTTATTCTTCATCTCCACCTCTCTTTCCTCCACTACTTGACTCCAGTTCCAGTTTGCTGCATGCAGAAGAGCTGGCACTATGGTTGCTTACATGGTTGGCTATGCAGCAGCTGGCTTCTGCTTACTGAAACATGAAAAGCTGTATTCCTGCCTGCCATCCCTCAGTAAGAACATTGCCAAGATCCATTTTTTCCATACAGATGCCAAATTTCCCTTATTTTATGAGAAATTAGCTTTCAAATTTCTACTTCTGTAAAACTAAACTAACCGAAATGAAAGATATTTTGGGTTTTTAAGGAAGAGGGATTAAGTACTAACTGAATATAGAAGACTTCCTTTTCTAAGAATACAAGACTAATTAGGAGACCACTAGCTTCTCTCTCTTACTCCTGGAATGAAGTTGTCCTATGAGCCTAAGTCCAACTGCTGCCCTCTCATAACATGGGTAAGAACTCTGGATGTAAGACTTACCATTTCATGAGGAACATAAGCTCTCCACTGCTATCCGTAGCGCCAATTATCCGCTCAGGATCAAGACCCCTTGCAAACCCTCTTGGTTTATCAACCTATTGATTAAGTTAGAATATAGTTATCTAGTTTAAGATGCATAAATTTTTGTGCTAGATGCATAAATTTTTGTACATACATGTGTGTATCAAAACAAAAAATAAAGTCTTAAAAAAGCATCAAATCTGTAATTACATATTATTGTCTGAATAGGACATTGATTTTTTCATGACCGATCTTCAGGCCAAGTCATATAGGGTCATAATAATTAAGAATTTTACATCCTTGTTGCCAGCGTTTATTTCTGAAAACACAATAGATGAAACAAGTGTTCTAAAATCATCATAGCAGAGAAACAAGCATGGTCAGTAAAAGTAACAAAAGCAGCAAAGCAAAAACACACGCCTGGAAGTTGGAAAAATGCATCCTTTTCAGCAAAACAACAGGCTTAGGTTGGCTTAAGCAAACAGTGAAACTCTTGGGGAACACCTTCTTGGCTGAGAACACACTGGTGACAAGAAATATCACAACTATTTCCTGTATTAGCTCTTTCAGAGATTCACAATACCCCTTTAGAGACAGTGGCCACTCCTGTACTAGATGAAGCCACACAACTGACCCCATATAGAAAGTAAAATACTCTTTGTACTATTCATCAACTATTCCTTCTGATACCTTCCAACCCTTTTGTCAGTAACCACATGTCTAAGAGCTGTCTTTATACATGAAAATAGCTGTCAATACCAGCAGCTTCAAACTGCTGGTCCGAAAAGTTTATAGACAAAAATGTGAACTATTGAACACCTTACTACATGTGCATTATTTTGTACTTAGCAGCTAAATGTGTTATGTCGTTTGCTCATTTGTACTGCAGAAAAAAAACATACTTTCAGAAAAGGTAGGCTTTCTGCAGTCACCCTTTCTACTCCCTCTCCACCATCATGTCTGGTCCTGATCTAAGGAACTGACACATTTTGCCATCTTGCAACTCACCTATTCAAAATCAAAGGCTAAATATGCAAGCCAAACATCTTGGACCTTTTGCTCTAATACATACTGATCACTTGGCACCATTAATTAATAACTCTTAACCAGACTTATTTTCAATTATTCAGTAAGCATCATGGGAAAATGCAAGAACTTTTAATCACCATGTCATTCAATCATCTTTTACCTACTATTTGGACAGTCTCATTAACCTCAATGATGTATACCCTTTTCAAACTACAGTTCCAGATACTTTGCAGTTTTTACACTTTTAAATCAGGGTTCAGTCTCATTCTCAAAGTCACAAAGATTTTTTTGGGGACAGAGGGGTAGGGAAAAATAAGCTTAGCACATGAACATATACTTACAGAATCACGCTTTTTCTTTGATTTACTATCATCAGATTCGCTATCTGACAAAGATTTTCTTTTGGCACCGTCTGTTTTTTCTTTACCAGCTTTCTGAGAGTTCAGAAAAGCTTCAATTAGCTCTGGACAATCTAAGTTCTCTTCAGGTTCCCATGTGTTGTCAGCACTGAAACATACACACATTTATGTAAAACTAGCTGCATGGCTCCCCTAATTTAATAAAGTGAATTTTGTCTCATTATATAAGGTAGGTTTCTTAAACCCTAAGGATGTTTATCTAACCCTAAGGATGTTTATTGTGCCATCTTTAGTAGCCTTCATGTACTGCAATTGATGACTGAAAGAAGTATGCTCAAATAATGTTGAAAAACAATGTTCTTAAATAAAAGATAGCACAATAAGCAGCTCTATTAACTCCTATGTTCTCAGTGGAATCATGAGAGTTACAACAAGCAACTCCCACTCTATGAAAACCTATCTGCCCATTTATACTGACTTGCTTACGTGGTTCCTCTAAAGACTGTCCATGCAAACAAAACCATATGATACAAGCACTAAGACCACTCATGGGAAACAAGGTGTACACAACACTTGTTACAAATAACCTAAGTATAAGTTTCCAGATATCAGGAACACTCTCTGAAGTCGTCTCTGAGAACTGAGCACAACTACACCTAGAACTGTCTTCCTCCTCCTGTTGACTACAGGAGGGAACAAAGGTGGGCAGAACTTGGCACTGTATATGATTCAGTGAGCGTGCATTTTGTTAACTGAAAGTTTAACAAGTCCATGAATTTTCAACTGCAACAACTAAGCACCTCACCAGAAGCACTCACACACAAATACTGCCACAGTGCTACTGCACAAGCAGGATACCAACTTACAGTAAATTATTTTCCATTACTGTAACAAGTTCAAATCAGACCCTCAATTACCAAACACGTGTTTTGCATTTATATATTCATCACTACACACATTTCAGGTGGCAGAGAGCACAATGTTGCAAGGCAATCATTTTGAGAGGTATGCGACAACAATTAATGCCACTGCATATGTAACCACTTATGCTTAAATGTTGGGTGCATTGCCTTTTCTCAGCTAGTAAAGCAAGCTGCCATGCAGTGTCACTGGCAGGAGAGAAGAGGCACAACTGCATTCCTTCTTATACAATCAACTTTATAAGATCACTGTAAAGTTCTCGTGTACATACGTAAGTCCTGGGAAAGACACTCAAAAGATTTTCCTTTTGGGTTTGCCTAATGAAGGCAACCATGCCACAGAATTCCTTAGGCAAATTTAGCTAATTTGAGGGCAGTTCAGGAAAATTAATACTAAGCAAACTATCTCCTTCAAATTCATTGCTTCAGAGCTGCCTACAGTTTAAATTCCTGCATAATTTCTTACTCACAAGTAACATTCATTCCACTACATATATAACAACTGTCATTCTAGCTTACCTTAAGAGATACTCACAGAAACTATATCAGAAAACAGCGCTAAAAGAACAATCACTAAGGACTTGGTTAAAGCCCTCGACTATTTTATGTAACAGAAACACTGAGCTGCATTATCTTCCATTTTATTTTCAGACTTGACTGTCCCACCTGAATATGCATTTATGGATGTCCTTCCCTCAAGGTTCCTTAAAGTGGATCCCATCATGCAATCTCCTCTCTGTACAGTTATTTCAAATAAATGGTTTGTGTTTATCATTCTATCAGAAAAAGAAAAAAAAAGAAAGGTAATGACTTACTCTGTAAATCCTTTCCACTTCAAGAAGTATTCCACCTTTCCATTTTGAACACGCCTGTCCAGGACCTTCTCCACAACAAATTCTTCAGACTCTGCCTCTTCAACTTTTTTACCTTTGCCATTCTGTTTCTTTCCCATTTTGTGCTACAAAAGAAATTCAGAATGACATTATTAATTCTTTTGCTTTATACGGTTACTTCACCGGCCAAATCCAACTTGGCTTAGTAAACAGCAACGAATCATGTACTTATTAACACTAAAGCCAGAAGCTCAGACTCCTTTTACGTTAGTGCATGTGGTCAGGTAACCTGAGCAAGACATGTTAATGTTTTGGGGTTTTTTTTCAGCTGCTTAATGAGACACCCAACACCAGTTTTTAAAAAGATTAAACTTTTTGTCCACATACTCAGTGACTATACTCCCCTTATAATTCTCAGTGCTACATGCTCAAAAAATTATGAGGCTTCTAAAATTTAACTCTATGCCTATAAAAAGGCAGAGGGCAAGGCAGAAATAAAGAAAAGAAATAAGGGAACTGTAAAAATGCATAAAATAGAAAAGGGATGGTACTCAAAAAAAGGTGGTTACTACCTGTTCCAAAAAAACAAGGAGAAACCGATGGCAGCGAAGTTTATGGTGTAGTGCTACAGTAAGCAAAATACTCAACAATAACCCGTAACTATTGAACAGGACACATGCTAGGAGCGTTCCATTACTGCAGTTTCTTCCCGTTCTTAGCCATGCACCTAGGTAATTTACAAAGATGTATCATAAAGGTGCATAAACTTAAGACCTTTATGTACAGCACTTAACACATATATGAAACGTTGCTAACCTGAAGAAATTTTTTCAAGTTTACATTTGATACTTCAAATAATATTAAGTTCTTAAAATAAATATTACATCCACATCATCCTCAAGGCATTCCCGGTTTAATAAGGCACAATCAAATCATAGTAGAAGGACCCATTTCAGAATTTCCTTGTTTGTAATCTCAAAAAGGCTGGAACAAGCCTATCATGTTGTGTCACATTTCAGGAAGACTGGCAGACCAAAATCATTCTGCTTGCCATTTTGGACTGTACCTTATAAGGAAAAGGTTAAAGCTGCAGCCATAAACTTTTAAGCTTTTAAAACATACTGTCATGCAGCACCCTAAATCAAAGAGGACAAAACTAATTCCTCACTAAAGCACTTTCTATACAATAGAAATCAGACAAGCAAAAATCACAAAGCACCTTTATTTGCTTGATGGTCTCTCTCTATTCCTCTCTATAATTAATGTGGGTTAGTTTGAGAATATTGCAATTTTGAAATTTTCATTTTTTTTAGACTTTGTAGAATTTTATCTTGATGTGGTGAAAGGTAAAAAAAAAAAAGTATGTTAGACACAAAAAAAACTGTCTCGTTTTTGTAAACTGAAGATTTGAAGATGATTCTCTTGCCAAAGCCCTGTCTTTGTACCTGTACCCCTTATTTCTAATAATTAATTTTTCCCTCCCTCCCTCTCTCCCCAAAATAGCTTTACTCTGGTTTAGCAGCCCATAAATTGAAGCTGCAAACAACAAAGAGGAGAAAAAGTTTCCAGTTTCTCATTCAAACAGCAAGTTTCTGTAAAGATTATACCTCGCATGGCAATTGTTTTGATTTAGAAGCATAGAAGAGAGATTATCTAGAACAGAGTATGCATTTCCAATTAGTTTAACTGCCTGCATATCCCAGGTGTATTTTGACCACAGCATTCATGTCTGAAAAGTGTCAACTTAAGCACACTGGCTTTTTTTTTTTTTTTGCCTCCACAGGAAAAAGAATGCAAGACTGAAACTGAAGGGAAATAAAACATGATGACGTCCAATGCTTCTATGAAGGCAGCTTCTTTCAAGAAATGGAAATGTGAAAAAGAGAAAGGGGTAGAGATGATGAAAAGAAACAATAAAAGAAGCAGAGGGAAAAACAACAACACAGTAAAAGACAGACTCACTATACCATAGTAATAACATTATAATTACTGGTGATGAGGCAAGCAGGCTACAAGTGGGGAACATCTCCATCTGTATTCTCCGTTGGACTAAAATTCTTTGATTCAATGGAAGATTGTTTTCTGGTACTCTTTTCGGCTTCACTAATTCTTGTCACTTAAAGATCAATGTTTTGGATTTCTGTATCAAAGCAACAATTTTTTTTTTTACTTTCTAAGACTTAAGTATCTTAAGTCTCTTCCACAGAAGAAAATTAATGTCATGGGGGTCTGTATTTTTTTCTTGAAGTCCAGTAAGAAATAACAAAATCAAGACTATGCTGCTTTTCTTTTAAATATTAAAGATTTAATTGGGTCTCATGCATCAGCACTGCTCTCCAAACTCTTGAACCTATTAAAATAATACTTGATTGCAGAGCCTGCAGAAATACTGAACATGTTAAAAAAACTGTACATTCTGAGATTATACATGCCCATGCAAATCTCAGCCCACAAGTGAATGTGATAGTGACTGAAGCTAAAGGGTACTAAACGTCCACTAGGCCCCAGAATCTCCCTTCTCTACAGTTGTAAGTTATAAGCTGTAACTTGGGCATTTGATACTGAAGGCTTGTCTATGGCTTGTTTCCCTTTCTGCATTCAGAAGTCACATGTGACAGATGTAGAGCTATGGATAACCACTCTTTCTTTTAGGGGCAAGGTTAAAACGCTGATGTGACACTGGGGTGTAGGGTTTTAACATACAAAAGGTAAAAAAAAAATCAGAACTACAGCTCTAGGGCTACCCTATCCCCTAATACATTTAGGTTTTGCATGCAAATACATAACGAAGCAGAATTAGTTACGGTTCCCATGGGAACCATAACTGATTTTCTTGACCTGTGCAGCAAAATTCTTAACATCAAAGGATTAAAAATTCTGCATTCAAAAATTTTTTCCTCTCTCTGAGGCACCCTCTCCCCAGGCTGGCTAACTCCTTCTCTTCCTCAAATTAGGGATAAGTGGTCAATCAATTATAAACAGAAAGCTCAGACATTCACCTTGGTGAAATCTTTTAAAGTAGTTTCTTATCATACAACATAGAGAAAACACCCCATTGCACCTCTAAGCAAGGGGTTAATACTAGTATTTAACATATCTTGAGCTAAGTGAACTAGTAATCATATCAATAAATTTAAGAACAGGCCTTTTGAGTGTTATAAACCAGTTGTTCTCCTATCCAAACTTTAAATTGTGCATGTATGTTTTTTGCTTACTTCCCCACCTCAAACTCAGATGTATCTCACACTATACTTTTTCAGTTGTTTTTCACAAAACTATATATCATTATTAGTTGAATGGTAACCAGCAACCAACTGCCCTTAGAAGTCCGTATTTTAATGTCAAGCAAAGCTTTACAAGACTTGAGATCCATGAATGCATCATTAAAATGGTCCAGGAAGGGTTGACATCTGATAATCTCTGCTCCTATGAAATTCAAAGAAACTGTTATTTGTTAAAAATCATTTCAAAAGGCATCTTAACTATGCCACATCATTTCTCAATAATGTTACTTTTCATCTGTAAAGACTGTCTTTTCTCAGGCAATTAGTTTTCTCCAAATACACTGGGAGAAATTAAATCAGTACATGATTCCAATTTTATTTTTTACATGTATGATGAATTACATGGTGTGCTGAAAGGAAGCTAAAAAAATCCTCAGTATTTCTACCATAGGACAGATGAAATAGTACAGAATCCTTTCATACTTTTTCCCCAACAAGTCTCTTTAGAACTGGCGTATTTATTAAAGCCAATGTCCTTTCCAGTAGCCTTACTTTCTGGATCTGAAATTTTGGTCAGAATAATGCTGGGGAGGGGAGATGTGGATGTATCTTTTAAATGGAGATGCCAAGTTATAGGTTTGAAGAAAAATATGTTGATTAAATCCTTATATACTTTAGGTGTGCATGAACTTACCAATGTAGTTTTATTGGAGGCCATTTTTATTGCAGACTTGCAGAGCTTTTACTAGAAAAATGCATGACAATTAAAAGGAAGTTTGCATAACTCAAAGAAAGGCATCCCAAGACAAACATGGTCCTTGTTCCAACCCCCATGTATTCACTGCATATAACATTTCTTATACAGATTAAATCCAGAACAAGGAGTAGGTTACTACTTTGTCTGGCGTGACGCAGTAACGCACCATTACACTACCAGGACAAATACTGACAAGGTGGTAGATAGGGTTAAAAAAGGTTTTTCCCAAGGCCTTCAAGGGCTTAGAGATGTTTCTAGGGAAAAGGGGGAGGACCATCAGGGATGCTTATTTCCTTAAACCCAACAGAACAGGAGTTCAGATTCCAGCAGTTGGAGATATACCTAAGGTATATTAACTGCGAATCTGGTGGGGAACAGCTTCATATCTGTGGTGTAATGAATCACCCATTACTCTTACATGGTAGTAAATCCTTATAAACAGCAAGTATTTTTCTTAATGCAACTATAATGTTGCCTTCTAATTCTCACGTTTTCAAGAGTTCAGGTCCTAGAGCAATATAAACTCAGCTAAGCCATACACAATACATACTTAAACTATGCAATTTATGTTGAACGCATTCATCTCCTTTTCCAAGTCATTTCTCATACCGACCAGATCCTTAGGCATGTATTGTCCCCACCCCGCTGCGAGCTATAGAACTGTTAGAATTCCCAATTTGCCTGAGCAAGGCAAAAGAAAGAAGTCCTTCAAGGCCAGAATACCTCCCGGACTAAGTAATCCCGCCCAATCCTCCCCTGACAGGGGAGGTGGATTTTGGCAGCAACACAGGCGGTGGGGTAGGCAAAGTGGGAGAAGGGCAGGGGCCAGGGCCCCAGCGCGAAGTCTTGCCCTGTGTCCCCCCTCTTGAAAGGCAGGAGAAAGGGGAAAAACCCCTAACAAAACCAGTAACAAATCCCCCGTCAGAAAACAGGCAGACCTGCGGAGGCCTGCTGGGGGCGGCTGCACCTCGGGCCTGTGGCGGGCGAACATGAGGCCGGCGGGGCCGCCCTGGGCGAGGTAACGGGGCCGTAAGAGGGGGCACCGGGCCGCTCCCGCCACCAGGGCCCCTTCCACGCCATCCCCTTGCCCCCGCCCCGCGACGTTTCTCCCGGGCCCGGCAGGGACGGCCGCACGTCGGCTTTGTCTGCCGCGCTGGTGTCGCTGCCCCCGCCCCCGGCGCTGCCCTCCTTCCCCGCGGCGGCAGCGCCTGCGGCTCCGGGGGCCTCCCTCCCCCCTTCTCTCTCTCCCTCGCCGTGCGGGCGCCGGGGCCGCGACCCTCCGGCAGGCCCGCTCCGCCCGCCACCCCCCACCGCCAAGGAAGCGGGGGTGGGGGGGAGGGGGGTGGGCTGCGCTCCGCATCTCCCCGCGACGGCCCGCAGCAAGCCGTAGAGGGAAGAGGAATCAGGGAAGAGGACTCGGGAGCGGGTGGGGTGGAAGCAGGCTGCTGCAGCGAGATAAAATAGGGAGAGAGAGAGAAGGATACAGACTTCAATGGTGCCCAGCCGCTTGGGTCTTCCGTCTCCTCCTCGCTCCCGCCCTGCGCGCACTGAGCGGCGGCGGCAGCAGCAACAGCGACATCCGTGGGGGGCTGAGGCAGCGGGTGGGGGCAGGGAGGGAAGGAAGGAGGGCGGGGAGCAGCGCGGCGGCGGCTGGCGGGGCTGGGCTGGGCTGGGCTGGGCGAGCACTGCGCGCCGGCGGCTGTGACGGGGCAGAGCGCACGACGCTGCCACCGCCTACGCGCGAGCCGCTACAACCTCCGACCGTCGTCGCCGCCGGCACAGGAGGGGGGCCAAGACGTCTCTCCAACGCGGGGCGAGCGCAGGACCGCGCCAGGCGTCCAAAAGAAGGAAGATGCCTCGCGGCGACAGGGAAAGCGATTGGGTGAGGTGGGGGGAGAAGCGGGCCTGCGGACCCCGGCCGCCATGATGGCCGCCGCTGGGAGCCCGCGCTGCGCCCGGCCGGGCCGGAGCCGCGCCCGCCGCAGAGCGAGGCCCTCGCTCGTCTGGGAGGGCCCGTGTAGAGCGCGCCCGTTTCCCGCGTTGCGGTGGGGAGGCCCGGCCCTAAGCGAGGGGCGGGGGTAGGAAAGCGGGCTCGGAAATCAGTGGGGCTGTAGGGACTCCAAAACTCATTCATAAGTAGAAAAAAAGGGTCGGGGACCCAGCTGGGGAGGCTTCTCTGCGGGCGGGGAGCCGCGGGTGGATCCGCGGTGGAGCTGAGGGGGAGGGGGAGCAGAGGGGGCGGGAAGAAAGGAGCCGCTCCAGCGCCATTTCCCTCGCGCGCGGGGCGGCAGCACTCACCCTCTGTCGTGGTGTGTGCGGGGCCGCCAGAGAGAGGGAGAGAGGGGATGGGATGAGATGAAGGAGGGGAGGACAGTAGAGCGCCGGAGCAGGCGGTGTGCCCGATGCCGGCGGTGCGGGGTAGAGCGGAGCGGGCTGCGGCGAAGTCCGCCGGAACCCCTCGATGTGTCGGCGCCGGTGCCACAATCTGTGCAGCTCGGTATTTCCTCCTGCCCGGGCGGAGGGGAAGGGGCAGGGGCCACGGCGATGTTTCGGGGGTAGGGTGTGCCCGCCCGCTCCCTGCCACTACGCGCGTATGAAGGGGCAACGTGCGGCCCCTCGGCTAATTATAACCCCGGGTTTGAGCCTTCGGATCCGCTCGGCAATTTCCGGAAATATAAAATTAAAAAAAATAAAAAAACACCAGAACTAAAAAACAGCCGTGACACGGTGCCAGCGGTGCTCGGGGCCGCTTCGGCTCCGCTCGGGCACGTCTCGCGAGCCTATTCCGTTGTCGGAAATTGCCGAGCGGGCCAGGGCAGTCGATAACTGGCTGCGTCTTTCTGTCCGGAAATTGCCGAGTGCCATTCGTTTCTACTTCGGCTCGTTCCGGAAATAGCCGAAGTGAGCCGAAAGGTATTCCGTTTCCCGTTCGGCTCTTTCCGGCGACTGTCGAAGCGCATAAGCTCGACGACGACGGCTTCTTCGGCTCATTCCGGAGACGGCCATTACTAACGGAGTCGATGACTTTTCATTACGCGATAAAAACACGTAGGGGCGTTATACAGAACTGCCGCCCCTTTGGAGACGTTTAATCTCCAGATTCTAGCTTTTTTATTTTTTTTTTATTAATTTATCCATAACATCGGAAGCGAGCTTGGGCTGGAGAAGGAGGGCGCTAGCTCTACGCGGAGCTGAATTTCAAATTACGTAACAGTTCAGGCAGCCATTACCGACCGGTTTTACGGTACTCTCGAGCAGGAATACGTAAACCATGAAGAACATGGTACGTAGGAAGGAAGGATTCGGAGCTTGCTTTTAAGGAGGGAGACGCATTTGCTTTTGCGGGAGAAGTGAATTTTTCCGGGGCTGGGCATTAAGAGCAGGCTTTGTCCGTGCGGGTCTTGGCGCCGCCGCCGGGTCGCACTGCGGGCCGGGCGCTGGGTGCGCGGAGGAAGGTTCTGGAAGTGGCGGCTGGGGCTGACGCGCAGCCGGGCGAGGCGGAGGAAGCTGCGGTAACCGCGCATGGTGCACAGCGCATTCTTAAGCGCTGGCCATGGCCTTGAGCCGCGCTGCTCCTGAGGGGGACGCGGGACGCGGGACTCCGGGGGTCGGTCGGTGGGCGGGCCGGGGGCCACCTTGGCCTCGCGAGGTGCGGAGCGGCCGGGGCGGTGCAGCGGGTAATGGCGGTGCCGAGGGGGAGGGGTAAAATGGCGGCCTGGCCGAGTATCGCGGCTGCTAGGGGCTGTGGGGATCGCTCTGGGAGAGCGGGCGAGGCGGAGGGTGCTGCTATAGTCGTCCGGTATCCTCGGGGGCGGGAAGGAGCGCCGGAGAGGTCTTTCTAGCGCCGGGTGTGTGTAGGTGCACGTTGGAAGCGCTTTGCAGCCCTGTCCCTGGAAGTGGCGGCTGCTCGCGGGCGCCATTTTCCCCGCCCGGCTCGGGGCCACGGTGTTCCCGCTGCCGCCACATGGCGGAGCCGGCACGGCCGCCACGTCCCGCCCGCATCAGGCGGGGCGCCGGGCCGAGGAATTGTGGAGCTCTCCAGAGTTTGGGATTCCCCTCTCGCTTGACTCGGTCAAACAATTTTGTTACCCTAGTTAGTAATTCTTCGGTCAGCGTGGATTGTTTGGGCGCACGTTATCGCTATATCACGTTTCCTTGCTCCGGTGGTTAGTATTTTTCTAAAGGCTGTGCGTTTTCTAGTCCTTTCAGGTGTTTTTTGAAGCCTGTGACGGACAGCTTAAAATACCCCTCTACAGGGGTTGTAAAGATTTTCTCTCGCACTCCGTTCCTGCCACAGGGGTGTACTGTGGAAATCTTCAAGGAGGTGTTCCCTCCAGTTTTCATTTGTGGGCCTTGATAGGCGTGGAGTGTCGGTGTCTTTTTACCAAATGAGGATTTCCCTCAGGATTTTAAGAGGGACAGGAGTGATGATAATCACCGTACATTTTACACTTTCAGCATAAGCTTTATACAGTTAGAGCTCTCTGGACCCTGGTGGGAGGTTAATGTTAGGTTAACCAGAGCTGCTTGAAACTGACAGCACTTTAAATGAATAGATTCTCCACACTCAGAGCCTGTGTGTGTGTCAGTGGAGCAGCATGTTTATGCTGGTTTTGCACATTTTCATTAAAGTACTGGTAATTTTGCTGGTGGTGCGTCCTGACACACGGTGCTTAGATGTTGTTCTGGGTGGGTATGATACTGAATATGTGTGTAAAATATATTGCTATCCTGTTTGTTAGTAATGTGTGGTATATTCTGTCATTGTTACAGCTGATGGATTCCATTCTTTCCTTGCATTTAATTTACATGTTCATAACTGTTTTCAAATGTGAACCTAACACTTACTGGAAAAAGCCTAGCTGCCTACTAAACGTGCTTGATTCTCATATTGTTATAATAATGTGTATTATTAAATGTATGAGAATTGATTGCATAGGAAAAAATGTCTTTTATGGACCTATGAAACGGTAATCACGTGGCAGCAGAACTGAAGTAACTTCAAGGTAGGGTTTTTGGCAGTATTATTGCTTAAAAAGTTTTTTTTGCCAGCTTACTCAGATTAAAAAAATGATAGTATAACATGCAGCATATGGGTTTTTTTAGCCCAGATCTGGTATGCAGCATTTTTTCTTTTATTCCTTTTATGAGATAAAGTGAAAGGAAATGACATGATATAAAACACGGGTTTGCTTCTTTCAAACTCTTATGTGTCATTTTGCCTGCCTGTACTAGGAGGCCGACAGTATTAGCTTTGTCTGTGTTCCTAGAAGAAAAAAGATTAGATCCAGCAGCAGATTCCAAGTGTTTTCAAGAGACATTTAAACTGACAGTTCTCAAATATCTAGATCCAGGCCTGGCTTGGACCACCTTAGAAAACATGTTGGTCTACATGCAGGTTGGCTTAATACTTCTAAAGCATATGTGTGCTGAAGTATTTAGCTTGTTTTCTAAGTCTCATTGTTTTCTAGTTTCCTTTTATCGAATTACCTGTCCAGTGCATAGTTGGTCATGTTGTGTTTTCCAGTTAAAACTATCTGTGCCTTGTTTCATTTTTTAAAAAAACAACTACCCTCTAAAGGAAACCAACAACCAAGATTTTCTTGAGTCTTAAAGTTACTTGTCAGTATAAAACTAAAATCATTGCATTTGAATTCTCTTGTCCTTAACAAGACAGTTCTCTTTAAAACAACATTCAGAAATCAAAAATTCTATGAAAAGGGGACAACTATTTAGTGCATTTTTAAATTGCTTGATGTGAAATTTTAACAGGTATGAGCTAGTGATACTACTTCGTGTAGAAAATGCCAATTACAATGTGTGCTTGGTGTAAAAAGCTGCTATAAAAGTGTTTTGAACTGATAGAGGTTGGAAGGTTGTCCTTCCTGCTTTTGGTATACCACTACATATGAAAGAATTAATGTAATACAGTGTTACTGGCCCTTTTGTGTTGGGTTTTTCAGAGTTTTTTTGGTGATGTCCTTGTCATTGCAGCAGAGATTTCTGCTGAACAAATGGAGTGATGATTTCTCTGTGAGGTAATAAAGTCTCATTGGAAGCATGATTCATATTGCTGCATACAAATGAGTATTATTCCCATTTCTGTTTTAAAAGGAGTTGTTTAATACTGTTGCTGTTAAGGCAGAGAGGTTTGCTGCTGATTCTGGTGGTGCGGGATCCCAGATAAATTTTACAGATGCTCTGACTCATTTATTTTAATAATTATGGAGAAAATATCAATTATTGATCTATTATAGAACATCTTTAGTTGTACTAATTTTTCCCTTTACTGCCTTGGGTAAATAGCATAGTAGTACTCATGTACAGCAATTTGAACTGGAATGGTTTTTTAAAAATAAATGTCACCTGGAATAGAATTGGAGAGTATGAACGATGTTGTTTTCTGTAATGAGAACTTCCAGGTTTGTTTTTATGTTTCTTTTCTTTTAAAAGCATCTTCTAAAAGTCTTTGACAGGAATGTTCTGGAAGTTTTTGAGTGTGCTCCCTTGTTTTAGATATTTGGAGGGAGAGA